GTGCTTTGTAAAATGCTGTAATTTAATATTTGGAAGAAATAGAAAAGTAAGCCGTACATTGGGCAGAACAGCAAACAAAAGTAATTCTACTTAGGATGAAAGAGACAACACAAGAAGGCCTATATATTGCTATATAACAGTTGAAAGTTCAGGTTTATAAATTGGATGGAAGAGTAATAAAGATAGGCTTCTTTGAATGGTCAGATTGTAGTTCTAGTTTCAAACTAGTAGTAGTTTGTATATTGGATGGTTCAGAAAAGTAGGAATACACTGAATAGACAGTATTTTGGATAGACAGTTGGATATAAAAAGCTGTATATTGGATAGACAGTGTGAAATAAAAGGCTCTATTTTGGATAGACAATGGGGAATAAAAAGCTCTATATTGGATAGATAATGGGGAATAAAAAGCTCTATATTAGATAGACAATGGGGAATAAAAAGCTCTATATAGGATAGACAGTGTGAAATAAAAAGCTCTATATTGGATAGACAATGGGGAATAAAAAGCTCTATATTGGATAGACAGTGGGAAATAAAAAGCTCTATATTGGATAGACAATGGGGAATAAAAAGCTCTATATTGGATAGACAATGGGGAATAAAAAGCTCTATATTGGATAGACAATGGGGAATAAAAGGCTCTATATTGGATAGACAATGGGGAATAAAAAGCTCTATATTGGATAGACAATGGGGAATAAAAAGCTCTATATTGGATAGACAATGGGGAATAAAAAGCTCTATATTGGATAGACAGTGTGAAATAAAAAGCTCTATATTGGATAGACAATGGGGAATAAAAAGCTCTATATTGGATAGACAATGGGGAATAAAAAGCTCTATATTGGATAGACAATGGGGAATAAAAAGCTCTATATAGGATAGACAGTGTGAAATAAAAAGCTCTATATTGGATAGACAATGGGGAATAAAAAGCTCTATATTGGATAGACAATGGGGAATAAAAAGCTCTATATTGGATAGACAATGGGGAATAAAAAGCTCTATATTGGATAGACAATGGGGAATAAAAAGCTCTATATTGGATAGACAATGGGGAATAAAAAGCTCTATATTGGATAGACAATGGGGAAGAAAAAGCTCTATATTGGATAGACAATGGGGAATAAAAAGCTCTATATTGGATAGACAATGGGGAATAAAAAGCTCTATATAGGATAGACAGTGTGAAATAAAAAGCTCTATATTGGATAGACAATGGGGAAGAAAAAGCTCTATATTGGATAGACAATGGGAAATAAAAAGCTCTATATTGGATAGACAATGGGGAATAAAAGGCTCTATATTGGATAGACAGTTGAATATTAAAAAGCTGTATATTGGATAGACAGTTGAATATTAAAAGCTCTATATTGCTATATATAGTATATTGGACGTATAGTTTATTATCACAGTCAAATATCAAATGGATTTCAAGACAAATACCATAGGGACCCTTTCCATAAAAACACAACTTAGATAAAAATCCAATTTTGGTAATACTCTAATCTTATTGGTTAATAAAACTAGTTTCAAATAAATTACTAGTGATAGACCAATCAGATAACTGGAAGAAAAACATCATTTTATGTTCAGT